ACATATGTATGTATGTAACTGCCTTTTTTATTATCTTTGCAAGATTTTAAAATTTATATATATATAAATAAACAAGTAATTGGAAAAAATAATAGGCTGATATAAAAATCCACCTAAGACTTAACTGTCATCGGTGATATTAATGCTGACCTTATATAACGCTGGGCAGAAGAATTTACTATTAAATTGCAAAGTCAGAACAGTGATGACAGGTAAGTCCCAGATGGGTTCTACCATCACAAAGTAGTTTTTGTGAAAATTGCAGATAGATAGTATTGAATATAAGCCCTCGATGTGTGCTAGGTATTTTATGTTACTTTGTGCCCGTGTAAGTTTCTTTTCAAAACTGCATATAGCCTCCCACTGGGAAAATAGGTAAGCACCTTCCGAGGTAAGCCATGTTTTCTTTCAGTTTTTAGTACCAAAATTGTCATCATGGCTAATGTCATCTACTAGTAAAGGGCAAAATGAACACCTCCGAAGACACATTACGTTGTCAGTTGCAAAATAACGTGCAGCCGAAGTTATTTCCAAGCACCGAACTACTCCGAGCGACTGCTCTGCATTACACGTAACTTACTTTGTATAGCGGCTCAGAAGTATGTCTGATACCAAATGTACATTCTAAATTCCTACTTACATAAGGCGGCCATGCCTTTGTAAAAGTAAGGGACGTTCGGCAGGTAAATGGTAATGACTGCCAGGTGAAGAGTAAGTTGCTAATAAGGTATTATTACGTGCTCCTAATTCCCACTGGGCTCCTAAAGAAACAAATACATGTATAATTTATTTTAAGGAATATGTATTTATGTATGTATTTACCCGAGTTGTCTGTAATTTACACATCTATATACATATGCACATGTGTATGTACATAGTCATGTATGTATATACTAACATGTATGTATGTACAAACATTGACATTTGTTGAACGCCATTGAATTCCCCATTAAAGGCATTGCCTTAAAATGCTTTGAATTTAGTTCAAGCAAATTTTACATCCTTTAGCGGCATGACTGGCCTCTTAACAAAGAAAAGCCA